GTCTGTTCTTTTTTGTGGTTTGTAAAAAAAATTAATAAAAAAAAACCTTGATCAAAAAAAAAACCACCACTAAATACTAGGGGTGGGAATCTTTTATTATTATACCACGATTCGATTCGATTCTGTTTCTTGGGACCACGATTCGATTCAAAATCGATTTTTCACTCAAAACTGATAATGTGAGCCCATTTGTCCAGCTCCCAAAGTTCTTCATCTTCATTTTGCAAACCTCTTTCATGTCAAACTCAGACTCATTCATTAAAACTAAATGAGTCCAAATATTTGCATTCAATGAAGACAGGGCCGATTGAATCTCTTTCCTCCAGTTTTGTAGTTTTCCTCTTTGTTTTGGTTCTTTCTGCACAGTCATATGTTCCAGAAACAGCTGTGTGGTGATGTCAGGACGGCCCAYGTAGTTACAAAATGGAGACTGATAGCCATTGGATTTACTTTATTTTTTATTTATAATAATCGATTTTGGGGCATTTTAAATCGATTCTGAATCTTTGTAAATGAGAATCACAATTCTGATGTAAAACGATTTTTTGGTGCACCCCTACTAAATACCTTATCCATCCACCCATTATCTTTACCCGTTTCTTCCTTTGTGGGTAGCAGGGGTCACCGGTATGTCGAGCAGTCACTTTGGGAAGGGTGTGGTAAACACTGGACAGGTCGCAAGTCATTCTCCAGGCCACATAGAGACAAACAACTCTCACTCACAACTAAGACAATTCAAAGTTACCAATTACCCCAACATGCATGTTTTTGATCTGTTAGAGGAAGCGGGAGAACCTGGAGAAAACACTTGCACACATGCAGAGAATGTGCAAATTCTACCCAGAAAGGTCCCCGTCTGGGACTCAATCCGGCAACCTTTTTGCTGAGAGGCAACAGTTCTACCAACTGAACCACTGTGCCACCCCCACATAGCATATTGTTCCTGTTCTTTATTAAAATATCACAATCTCCAGTTAGTTTGTTTGYATATTTCCCAGTGCAATTAGGCTCTATCATCAGTAAAGGTGTAAAAAAAAAACGAACAACTGTSAAATTCATAACCTACCGCTCCCTTTCAGCTCCCGTACATAGTTACTGGGAAACCACCCAGTCTTCCCATTTAGTGAGCCTTCCCACCAGCCCCCATCCTCCTGCCTGGACACGGTGATGATGTCACCCTTGGTGAAGGAGAGCTCGTCCTCGTTGGTCTGCTGAAAGGGGAAGCGCGCTTTGACCAGCACCTGGCCACACCCACTGCCATCTGACATGTCCTGTGAGCGAGGAGAAAATCCAACAGAGGTTAGATCTGTTTCATGTGTCGTCACCGCTCGAGTTGTAATGCTGTCATTGTGACTCACCAAACTRCGGTACTGAATCTGCAGCACTTTAGAGGAGCGAGTCTGAGTGTTCAGGGAGTCAAATGATTTGATCCTTAAATTTGATGTGTGCGGCACAMATACACTGTCTCCTGAAGGGCCTAAATGTACAGGAATAAAACACATCAATTATTAACATCCAAACAATTATTATACGTTAAAAACAAACAGGGTGACTGCAAAGATTTTATCAAAATACATAAAACACAAAGAACAAACAAAAGACAGAGGAGGGCCAAAGTTTTGACAAAAAGAGATAACCGTGAATCTAAAACTGTTTACCTTCAGTGGCTTTATTGAGGGCAACCAGGGTGTTCAGTACTTTAGAGAAGTTCAGTCCCTGCAGCAGGTCACTGACCTCAAAAGTCTAAAGAGGAACAAAACCATAAGAAAGATGAAAGAGACACTTTTATGTAACAGCCCAGATGGGAAAGAAATAGTACAGGCCAAACAATCACTGAAAAAATCGATAGAGCTTCAAAGAAAAAAAGTCTTCTTTGTGAAATAGCTTCATGTGCGTCGAACTATTCAGACATTTGGACACACCTGCTGTACCTATTCATTTTACAAGATGTGGCCCAACCTTTGAGTGGTTTCTGTTTTCACACAGGCATTTTTTTAAAGAAAGTCTATWCACCAGTGCTTTAGCTCCTTGAACTAATGCTATGTAGTTTTATAGATTAAATGAGTCCTTGTTGCATTTATTTAAATTCAGAGTCTAGTGAGGCTTTAATTCTCTGATCCAACTGCAGTCTGAAGCAGGATTACTCCCGAGTCTGAGCTGCATTTGTAATCTCCCAATCAGACACATGTAAGTGTGACACACACACACACACACACACACACACACACACACACACACACACACACACACACACACACACACAC